CAGATCTGTTTTTATTCTTGCATTGTCTCAACTAATGCAGGAATAAAAAAAAACAGACCTAATATCATGTATATACATTGTAAGATTACAAATATATATATAATATAATATAATATATATATTAGAAATAAATATTATATAACATATAATATATTTGTTTCTCATGTATATTCACAGTATATTATTCACTTCTTTTAGTATTGGTTATCGTAAGATGCACGAAGAAATTTTGACAAAGAGTCCAGGCCCAGCCGCATATATCAAAATAAATTATGATATGATAAAACGACGGAGTCCAGCATATAGTCTAAAGGGAAGACACATTTTATCAGAAAGATATCGCAGTCCAGCACCAATCTTTTATCCGTTGTATGATACACGAAAACGTTCACCTATATATTCATTTGGTATAAAGCATAGTGAATGCGTCGGAATACCTATGACACAGCTGGACGAGGATTAATAGTTTTATAATTGAAAATTGTATATAAATCTTTTTTTATCGTATTTTTTACATTTGTATAATAAATGAAACTATATGTATGTATACATGATGATATAATAATACAATAGATGTAACACACTCTCTCTCTACTTAGATAGATTTTATATATAGACCTTGTTTATATCGAGCATTTAATATGCATATACTAAACACTAACCAGTAACTTTCTTTTAAATTGTCTTAAATTCACTAATGAATGTAAATATATACATGATATGGCCATTTATTAATTATCATAAAAAAAGAAAAAGTATTACGTCACAAAACTATTTTGATTTATTTTTTTATGAAGTTGCGAAAGCGCGTACAGAGTCAGATTTTGCAATTTGTTCCTCAAAAATTATAATAAATAAAATTATGTGCACCTCAACTGCATTACAGTACTTTCTAAATCTCGTAGAGTGAAATCTCACTCGAAGAGACTGAAAATTAGGCCAGTCTTGAAAAAAGAGTGAAAGTACTAACATTTTTTTTCCAAGAGTGACAAATTTTCATTCTTTTTATTTTTTAAAGTAAGATTTACCCTTTTAAAATAAGCTATTTCATTCCAAAAAAGTGAAATCTTAATTTCTTTTTTGGAGTGAAGTTTTATTTATGGTATTACACTCGGCATAAATTGCGAACTATATTTAGTAATAGATACTTTTTATATATACGAGAAGTTACTGCTATCGATCAATTTCAATAAAAAATCAAAAATATAAAATAATAGTTTAAATATATTTTTTATGTATGAATATTGTCTATATATCGTAAAGACAAATTTTGTTTCTATACTTACGCATGCACATACATATATATAATGCGCAGTAGCTAATACCATAAGAGAGTTCAAACGAACATTCGACATGATGTTGCAACTCTTCGGTAAACTATTGTGCAGTAGATACATTCTGCTGAACGCACCGAATGTATTTTGCAAATTAAAGAAACATTTTTTTAAATAAAAGCACTGCGGAAGTATAACAAAAGACAGTGGAATCTGTTATTACCATATGGTAATACCAGAAAGTTGATCAGCAATTCCATTGAAGAAAATCCGGTGCTATTCGCAAAAAACAATTAAATTTGTCTAATTTATTATTAAATCCATTATTAAAATAATAAAAAATATGCATATCAATAGCAACTAAGAATACTAAATTAAAAAATTTAATTTATTAATTTAATTTATTAATGATTATTATTAGTGATATATTAGTTCAATGTGTATTCATTACAGTCTTATAATTCGATACAGACAAGTTCTTTCTTCAGCATTATTAGCACTGTTCGTCGCACTTAGTAATATAAGGTGGTGCACATTTGCTGTGTTTTACACCGAACGAAAAAGCGGGAGTCGGTTTAGGTGGTAAAATGGCATACATCGGACCTGGACTTTCGGAAATTAACTGTAATACACGCCTAGTACTAGCCATAGTATACATCGGTGCTCTTGGTTTCACTGCGTTCAAACTGTATGCATAGGGACCTGGAGTAATTTGGGGCTTCTTCGCAGCTGTACGCAATCCCCTACAATAAATATGGTATATAAATTCATGTACGAGTATTTACATTCTAAAACGAACAAGCAAGAATCACAAAAAAATATATTAAATGTACATGGAAAACGCTGGCGTATCTATAATAGGTTTGATGTGATAAGGTCCTGGAGTTCCATCAGTTTTCCTAAATTTAGTTCTCCATTTTATTGAATAAAAAGGACCTTGAGGGACATCGGGCAACTTATATTTTGGACCAGGTCCGAGGATGATATCTGTCAAATATAAAAAAAAAAGAAATAATAATATAGGACGAAATATAATATAAAAGATAGCATAAATATCTATATCTCACTGAAGCGATATGTTTATAATACAATATCGTAAAACGTTCAATTATATCACGATAAAGATCAAGATTACGATATATTTTGATTGAGATTTAATGAAAATTTCATTAAATTTTATATTAATTTGACGTCACTGTAAATTACGTAACGGATATATATTGTTTTAAATATCATATATAGCATGCAAATCTATTTAACCGTATTTATTTAAATTAAAATGGTTCGATTTGGAACACGGTCCGATTTAGGACATTCTCTCCTACCATAAACTTCTTCATAAATTTTATAAAATTATATTAAAAATTATAAAATGATAAAGTTATGTATGTAAAATTATGAATCAGCAATTTCAAAAATTGTAAAATATTTTAGAATTCGCATACAATATATAAAAGATTCTATAAAGAATGTAAACTTTATTAGCATTTCAGAAATGTATTTCAATTTGTATAAAAAAATCTAAAAAATTTTTTTTAATCTTATAAAGTTATTCATACATTTTCAAAAATTGTATAAAAAATTTTGAAAAAAATTCCACCTAATACATATTATAGGAATATTTTATACAGTCAGAGAACGATTTAATCAAAATCTTTTTATACCACGATGTTTTAAGGTATATCCGAAGGTAAATCCCTTGGGTCTACGTTCTTTGATCAAGTACTTTGGTCCTGGACTTTGTATCACTTCGAAGATGACACGACGATGTCCAAATGTGTATGCTGGGTTTCGATATCTTGAGATACAGTGATTTTTGTGACCGACAAGTGTTTTAAGTTGATATTTAGGTCCTGGAGCTGCATAATACATGACAAATTATATTTAATAATTCTTGTATACATAGAATGGTTTTTAAATGTGAATTTAAATGTGAAATATATATTAAAAAGCAATCAAGACTATGACAAATACTACTAAATTATTAGTATGTTCACATTATTTTTATCATGAGATTTCTACTTCATTGGAGTATTATGTATAAAATTTACGTTTATTTTCACCTCCATATACAATCTTTATTTAAATTAGATGTGATGAATGCGTACTGATAGAGTGACATGTTATGGTGCCCTTTTCACTTGTGGCAATTTTGTCTTTTTTGCGCTCCTTTTTTAATGGCATTTTTTTACTTTTAAGTTTAAAAATTTTACTTTCGTGTCATATATTATACATGTCACATTACTATAATTTTAATTAACTCCATTTTAACGAAAAAACAATTGCACTCATATAAAACATTTTATTAAGCCAGTCGCACATAAAGACAAGCCCGGATCTACATTATATTCTAAATTGACCAATTATATAGTCGAATGCGAGAAGAACAATTAATTTACTTATTTATTTATTCTAGATATATATCTGGACGATCCCCCAGAATCGGCCGGCTGAGAAAAAAAATTTTTTTAATTTAAAAGAATTTTAAAGATACTGTAAAAAATAAATAAATAAATTAGAAATGCTATAAATTATAAATTAGAGATACTATATAAGTATCTCTAGCAGTCTGGATGGAAGACTTCAGACTGATTCGGAATTCGGATCTTGACAGAAAGCAAAAAGCAGTAAAGCAGCCAATCAGAACTCGCGCTGGGCAGCCGCTGGTTTCTGCTCACATAAGCGCACAATATTGGAGTGAGTAGGAGCTATAATAGGAGCATGCGACACGAACAAACTTCTTACGTAATTAAAATTTTATAATTTACGTGACTTAAATTATAGAATTTTAGTTACGTAGTCACATTTTTATATATTTTAGAACGCACCTGAACTCAACGCACCCCGGCATCGTCCGTTCCGTCATCTGGCGTGATCTGGTCCCATCGGTCCCATATTACAACGTCGAATTTGCTGACCGACCATTCGGGGTCGTTGTCGCCTTGTTGGGCGCGTGGACTCCAAAATTTGTTTTAGACTCGTCTAAAAAAAACGATATAAAGAGAGCTACGGACTGAATCTTGACAGACATGATACGAATCACATCGAGGATACGTAACGGATTGGTATGCGCGATCTTCCGTGGTTCCGTGCGAACCAGCACCAAATCCATTGTCGTCCGATATCTTCACAGAAAACATCAACAAAGGTATATTCATTATTCGAAATCACTCTCGTGCTGAAATCCTTTTACAAGTCTTTCGAATTTTGCACAATGATCTTTAAGGTTATTTTACGTCAATGCCAGATCTATTAATTTTTAAAACATAATATTCCAGCTTTAGTCTCTCATTGGGATTGTTTTTGTCTTGAAACTTATACAATCATTGTCCGTTACGCACAAAAAATATGACAGCGTAATATTAATTTTCTCAATACTTCAGACTTCAGCTGTACAGTGCTTTGCATTTTGTCCCAACACCATGGCAGCAACAGCTCAGGTTTTATGTCGATTATCCTAATCATATCAAGGTCCCACTTCCAGCATTGTCTCCTACCATGGAAACAGGAACAATAATCAGCTGGCAGAAGAAGGAGGGTAAGATCATTCATTAGTATTATGACAGATAGATTTTAATTGTTACAAAGATAAAATTATTTGTTAAATACATCGATCAATTTTTTATATTTGATCTCCTAGGTGACAAGTTAAATGAAGGTGATCTGCTAGCAGAGATTGAAACAGATAAAGCTACCATGGGATTTGAAACTCCTGAGGAAGGTTATCTAGCCAAGATTTTAGTACCTGCAGGAACAAAGAATGTGCCTATAGGCAAACTAGTTTGCATTATTGTACAAGACGAATCTAATGTAGCCGCATTTAAAGACTTTAAAGATGATACAGTGGAGCCAGCTGTACCTCCTCCTCCTAAACCAGCAGCTCCTACAACACCTGCACCACCACCAGTAAAAACAGAAGTAGCTCCACCTGTACCAGCCGCAAAAGTTCCTTCTATCGTACCACCTTCCGAAGAAAGAATATATGTCAGTCCATTAGCAAAAAAATTAGCGGCTAAAAAAGGACTTAGTTTACAGGTGCTGCAAGATTGCTGATTTAGAAATTAAATTAAAAGAATGGAAGCAAGTATGAGCCAATTTGCTTCTCTATTTACCTCCATTCTTTCAATTTCTGTAATATTTTTTGTCTCATCATTATTAGCTTATGTTAATATTAAATTAAGACATTATATTCTTTTGATAATTTGTAGATATATAAAACTTATATACTTTTGCTATTCATTGTAGGGTTTAAAGGGAACAGGATTGTATGGCTCTATAACATCTAAAGATTTGGAGGGTGCGGTAGTACAACCAGCAGTACCCAGCATTGGTGCACCAACTGGAGTAGATATTCCTATATCAAATATACGTATGGTTATTGCTAAACGTTTGTCAGAGAGCAAGCAGACGATTCCGCATTATTATCTCTCGGCAGATATAAAAATGGATGCCGTATTGGCGATGCGAGAACAGTTTAATAAATTGTTAGAAAAAGACAAACTAAAAATAAGCATAAATGATATTATCATCAAAGGAATGGCAATGGCTTGTAAAAAGGTACCAGAAGGCAATAGCGCTTGGTTAGGAAATGTCATTCGACAGTAAGTACTTTATAATGTTATAAAAATAGTAATATGTAGAACTATTTTCAAATTTCTTTAATATTTTTTTTTAGTTTTTATATATTTTGAATATCATTTTATCTTCTTTTAGATATAATAATGTGGACGTTAGTGTAGCAGTAAGCACAGATAGCGGTCTAATCACTCCCATAGTGTTTGGTGCCGACGTAAAAGGTATAGTTCAAATTAGTAAAGATGTGAAGGCATTGGCTACGAAGGCGAGAGAAGGAAAATTAAAGCCACACGAGTTTCAAGGAGGAACAATTACCATATCCAATCTTGGCATGTTCGGAATTAAGAATTTTTCTGCTATAATAAATCCTCCACAGTCTATCATTCTCGCTACAGGTGTCACAGAGGCTAAACTGATACCTGCCAAAAACGAGAAAGGGTAAAAAAAAATGTTTTATAACATTTTCTAGACAAATTTAATGTGTTTGTGATATAAATATCAATCCCCAAATTTTTGCAGATTTACCACTGCCCAATATATGTCTGTAACTGCCAGCTGTGATCACCGTACCGTTGATGGTGCGGTAGGTGCACAATGGTTAGCCGCTTTTAAGGATTTGATGGAAAATCCAACGACAATGCTTTTATAGTAAGTTAAATTGTCGTTCATTTGTCAATTGAGTGATGATTTGAATAGCAAATATAATATGTAAATATAATATTTCAAAAATAGAAGTATATTGACTCTTACATGTTTAATATATTTTTTGTATTTTAAAAAATATAAATCCGCATTCTCTTTCTCTCTCTCTCTCTCTCTCTCTTTCTCATACTTTTTAACTCGAACTTAATTCTTGGTATATATCTTTTTGTTTCAGAAATGTTATTTTAGACAAAAACACGATCTACACGATGTTTCAAAAGTAATACATTTATGAATTATTTTTTGTAACTGAATAACTTCTTTGATGTTGATTCGGTTTAAAAAACTATGATTTTAAGTTTTCCAAAAAATTATAACATACCAAAAAAAAACGTTATCTCTTGTTCTTAAATGCGTGAATGAGAAGGCTGTTTGAATTCAGTATAATCAAAGTTAATGAATAATTTGAATTTGTCATTTTATTTAACAAAATTATATAAAAAATTTCTACGTTTATTATCTCTTAGCAAAACTGCCTCTAAAAGTGGTCATGTGTACATATGTATATTGTAATAATTAGTAATTCAATTGTACTGTTGCAAAAAAAAAATATGATTACCTTTTAAGCAACGATAAAAGTGTCAAAAATGTTTATAGTAATTATAAAATATATATCTCGTATATTTAATAAAAATTACCTCTTGTGACATATATTTTTATAAATATTTTTTCATCTTAAATAATTTTATTTAATTTTTTTAAATTCTAAAATCAATTTTATTGTAGAATTACGTTTCGTGTGGAAAGTTATAAACCTATAAAACGATGAAAGGGGGAGATAATTTAAATAATCTGAGAATATGCATTTTATTAATTTGTTTCGGCTATATATTAATATTTATTTATTATTAATATCAAAGAGAAAGTGGACATCTCGACCTTTTTCGTGTACCAAATCTAATAGGATAATGGGATAATATCCATATTTTTTTGTGGTTCTTTTACTATTATATTATGTGGCTTAGACAAAGACGAACAATCAACTTTGTTGAACTTTAATTATTTGTCATACACACAATTTAATTGCACACAGTATTCACATCAGCCGGTTTCTAGTAATTTTTAACTGTTTTACCAATGAGATTATATTATTTTAAATTAGCGATATGGGCAATTGATATACGTAATACACTCCTGGATATTTGACAAATATCCGGTACTATAATAATAAATAATAAATATGCTAGATAAGATGCATATTATCTTTTCGCATTAATTTATTATAAAGCATTACCTATAAAAATGTACAACAATTATTAAAATTTTTATAATCAATATCTAACAATAATCTAAATTATAAAATTAAACGATAAATCTCAGTGACGTCTCTCAGTAACACGTACCTATGACTATGATTATACGATTTGATTTACGCCAAAGTTATAACATCGATATTATAACTTCGGCATAAATCGAACTGTGTAAACGTCTATCTGGACATTTCCACAAAAATTCGTATTAATATAACTTTAAATGCTTTTTTAAATATATATAAAATATTATAATTTAATTGTAATCTTTAATTACAAGTCAATTATAATGATGTAATAAAAAAACATTTGATTAATAATAATTTTATGTAATATAAATGTATTCGGATATATGTAGATACATACATGTCTGATCATTAGGATGTTTATCTTTTTTCACATTGTTATCGCACACATTTGGATACTTTATATTTACAAATGTTTGTAAAACTGTATTCATGTTGAGTATTTAAAGAAAATTTAAATATAGATAAAAGAATGTAATTTAGAAACTATAATATCGTAAGATTTCAAAAGAGAATATAACATTATGTGCAATACTGTTATTTTTGTAAACACAGTATGTTTTTTTACGAGTTTTTAACATTAATTATGTAACAATCAATCAACAAAGTTATAAAGTATCTAAACTTTTGGTTTGTATAAATCTATTATATAATTTTCTAGTCTTTTTGTTGTACTATTATCAAATAACAATTCTATGTATAATAACATGATGTTTTTAGATTGCACAATTCATAAAAAATAATGAAATAAAAAAATCAGTTGTATAATAGAAATTAAAATATCACACTAGGCGAAGTTTTCGTGCACGGATGACATTTTACTACAAAAAAGGAGAAAGTCACTTATGGCGTGAAATAGCATTCTGGTAAATGTGTGTATATTGAGATAATTATTGGATAACGCCTAAAATCATTCTCATATCAGTGTTAATGTGATAGTTGGTAATTGTTCACTATAGGGGACTTGGCCCCGATTACCTTGACCTTGATGTATGCTGTCAAGGTCATGACTCTGAGTGATCTTTAAAAGATTTCAACTGTCGGACATTATTCGTCAAAAAATTATTAACAAAACATTTTTTTTAATAATGTTTCATTTTGTAAGAGATAAATGTTCCTGTGTTGAACCACAGTGGTTAAACTGTGTGGCTTTGTAGCGAGACGGTTGTTGCTTGCTAATATGGATGACTCGAAACCTCGGTTCAAGTTCCGGCACCGGTAGAGAACCTGACATTTTTTCTGGGCCATATCCTTACAATTTCTGCTACAACAAAAGTTATAAATCCATATGTATCCATGTATACATTACAACGCGAAGCGACTTTCACCACATTTCTCTCTGCTTCAGAGCATACGACTTCCCACACGAAGTAACACTCCATTTACCCCTTGCTTTAGGGCACGCGACTTCCACCCGATCTGCTCCCCTGCCTAGGAGCGCACGACTTTTTAGACAGAGAACAGAGAAGTGTAATGTAGACCTCGCTTCGCGTAGAAAGTTGCGCACCCCGAAGCAAGAGAGGAGGTGAGATGGAAGTCGCTTTGGATGGAAAGTCGAAATGCAATATTTTCTTTTTAATTCTTTTGTTAATAATTTTTTAAGAAATAACGTTCGATAGCAAAAATCTATTGGAGGTTAAGTCATGACTTTGACAACATATGTCAAGGTCATGAAAGCTGAGTTCCTTAGAGAACAATTACCCGAATGTTTAAAGGGATGCTGGAATTGTCCTATTTTACCAATAAAATGTGATTACTTTTTAGATTCTCCAATCTTTTAATTGCATTTACAGATTTTAAAATCCTGCATAATTAAAATAGTACAAAAATACAATGCACAGACAATTTCATATAAAAAACAAGAAATTGAAAAATTATAGTTTTATTATCGGTTTTTGTAATCAACTTGTGACAACATGTACTGCATATAAGAATTTTAGGTCCTGTACATTGTATGTTTGTATGGTTGCATGTGTGAAGTTAGATCACACTAGATCTAAAAGAATAATACCATATTTGTACAAATTAATTAAGGATTCCAAAACCAGAGAAAAGAGAATCTGAAAATTTCATTTGTATACTACGAACTAAATCGATGTGAAGAATAAAACAGAGTAGTAATTGTGTCTAATAGTAGATATCGGATGGAAAAGTTGACGTTGTAATATATGTTAGATAAGGACATATATATGCGTTTGAATGAAACAGAATAATAAAAAACTAATTTTGGAATTAAAAAGCGAAGTAATACAGTGCTTGCAAAGCACTAAAAAGCGCTTATTTGCACTTTTTTTTAACATTTTGTTAAAGTTTTGTAGATACTGTGAGCTACTTAGGAAGTCTGTATTATCTACACCAATGAAGTTCGGCTATTGCATCAGCATTTCCTTAATGTAAATTTTTTTAATCTAAATGCATAATATATAAAAAGATATTAATACTATATTTACAATTATAATATGCGTGTATATATATACATAGAACGGTAATTGAGTATTTTAAAGGTTTTAAGAAGAGCAATTTCTCATACCATCAAGATGAAAATATAACAAAATATGTTCGAAATGAAAATAAGTTTTAAAGTAGGGTATCAAAGTTGAAGGAAAAATTTCTTTCCCAAAACTTTAGACAACCATGTTTATTCATCAAAATAAATAGAGTGGTTTTCAAAATTTTTGGAAAAAAAATTTTTCTTACAACTTTGGAACCTGTATTCTTGAAATTAAGCCGTTTCGGATGTAGCCATATGGAAGTTTTGATTGTAATTTTTTAATGTGATGAACTGAGGAATCACTCTTTAAAATCTTTTAAAGTACTTAATTATTATCAGGTATGTATGTATGTATGTATGTATGTATGTATGTATGTATGTATGTATGTATGTATGTATGTATGTACGTACGTACATACATACATACATGTTAATACATAATTTATTCAAACTTCGTCCAATTATTTTGTGATTTAATGGTAGGTACATCCAATGTTAAACTAAATGTGTCCATTGTATCATTAATACTGTTGTCACTTTGATTACAAGCAGCAGTGTTTATTGTGGATAAATTATCACCATTAGATAAACTAAATTTATTAAAATCTATACCATACGCCTGTAATAAATCCGTATCACCCACATTATCGGAGGCCTTCGGTTTGTCATTGGTTTTGTGCGACTGTTTTTGAAAATAAGGATACAGAGGGTTACTAAGACCTTCGCCCATTTCAGGTAAATGTAATGATTGACTCATTTGTTTTGTGCTCGAAAATTCGGAAGATTTAGATAGTAGCGGATCGAAATCATCGTTGCTGTTTATTGAATCTAGCCGTATTAAATCTGGGACGTCAGAAGGATCCTGTAAAAAAAAAAACACGCTTTAATCATTCCATTTTAGTTAATTAATTGTAATGATAATATGCAAGAGAATAAATGAAAATACGTGAATTTTCAATTTGAAATATTAAAATCGTAGTAACAAATGTAAATAACTGTAACAAGTTACAGTTACTCGCTGTGCATCACGGGGAGGTTGCTCTCACACGTGCGTGTACATGCGTATGCTTCGATGTAAGAAGGAGAGGTGTTATGAATCTCGCTTCGCGTGGAAAGCCATTACATAAACAGGAGAAGGTATAGTATAATTTTTAATATTATATGTATATACATATAACAGGTTTAGCCATAAAATGTTAGAAATAACATCTTATGGCTAAACCTGTTGGAGGTCACACTAGGTCACGATCTTGATAACATATGTAAAGATCAAGGTCATTGGAGAACTCCTCTAATCTATATTTTTATTATTTTTTACTACAGTCAAGAAATAAAGCGTAAAAATATGTATAAAATTATAAAAAAAATAAAGAAACAATACTCATTATGCAAATTTTATCGTTTTCAAAAAAAAAATTTCAGTAATAATATTATTCAAATCTTTGTGCAAACCATAAACTAATATTTAATGTGTAAATATTGTAAAAGAGTTATAAAAAACTTACCGTCCTATTTACAGGCGGGGTATTTGGAAATATCACATCTCGAAGTTCGTGCATAAGATCTATATTTATATGCTCCAAGTCTGACGATTCTTCAGGAGAACTAGGGCTTAAAGGTGAGTACTGTTTTCTACTATAATATAAACATAAATATATGTAATAAATATAATATAGTTCAAAATTATACTACTTCACAATAAAAAAATTATTTTGGACCGGATTAGGTACTTTTTATAAATTTTTGTATGCTGAAAACGATGCCGCAAGCCAAAAAAATTCCAGCATGTCAGGTTTCCAAGATAATTCAGATTCAAATGTCCAAAAATGATAATTTTAACGATATTTGAATTTTTTTTTATAAAGAAAATGAACATTATCTTGAAATATTGATTATCTGTGACAATTTATTATCATAAAAAACCCTGTACTTAAATCCTTCATAACATGGCAAAAGAATGAGATATTGAAATAAAAAGAAATGCAATTTATAGGAAATGAACAATACATTCTTTTTCGCGAAGACAAAATATCACTTTCGAATCGGTAACAACTATCCGGTAAAACAGAATTGCAACTGCCAATTGTAACAGTATTATCAAGAGTATTTTTTATATAATATTTAAATAATATGAAAATTACATTTTTTTAAGTATAAGAACAGATTATGATAGTAATACGAAGAGACAATCAATACAGAGATAATTTATATATATTTGTATATATACCTTGTATCAGAGAAATTGTTATTCCGCAAGCGTAAATCTTTTCGATAATTAACTGCCGCTGATACACCATTTGGAGATTTTGGTGGAGACGTAAATCCAACAGGTCTTCTATCTAATGTGGGTGAGCTGGGAGCTGATCGTGGCTGATGAAATCTCACATTAGTTTCACTTCTATTCAATCGTCCTGTCTCCCAAATAAATATTTATAATAGATATATATTTAATATTTTTATATATCAACAATAATAAAGAGATTACTAAGATTACACTAAAACATACCTTTCCATTTTAATCCTTTATATGCCGTTTTCATATCTTTTCCTTTATCTTTCACCTGTAGATATCAACCTTTATAGCATATTTCTTACCATTAAATTCTTATTATATTTTAATAAATATCAAATATAATACAGAAAGTATTTTTATTTTTAACTGTATATTCAAAATGACAACTGATGAATCATATATACAAAATGATGTTTGTTATATATTATGTTTTAAACTTACTGATTTAACAGCATATTTTACTGCTGGATTGGCCTGCAATTGAAGGTAGCAGAATAAAATATTATTTTATTTTCTTTTATAATAAGGGCAGATAGCAGGTGTTTTGGAGATAAACTCTATGATACTGTCCAATCTAATTGAAATGTTAATGTAACATGCCTTATCTTTTACACTACGGAAAAATGCGGAACTCTCTTTTCGCATAGTGTAAGTCCATTCCCTATATTGCTGCATAAATTTACTACCCGATTTGGCCGAATAACTGCAGGCTTCCATTTCGAACTCATCTGAGAAGCCTAGTCCTGAATTAAGCATGTTTAATCTTTCTTCTATAAACTGAAAATATCCAAAATATTTATTTATCAGATTATATCAAGCACTTGTAATTATACTATATAATTATAGTACAATATAATTAGACAATAGACTCGGAATGTAATTGTACATTTTGGGACAATTCCTGTTGTCCTCCCACTACCGTATTGAAATTCATCACCTTAAGAATCAACCCGAAATGTGCAACTAATTCGGAGCATGGCACTATATCTATAATATACTTACTTGTTGGAAAATTTGTAACTCTAACATTTTTCGTAAAAAGGGTTGCATGGAAGATGGTCTACTTTCAACAAATGCATTTTGATTAAACGTGATACGCTCACCCTGCTGTAAAGTTAATGCCTCTCTATAACCTGCGGTTAATTGCACTAATGCACGCAAGAATGCCCTTGATACACCATCTCCAAGAAGAGCTGGTCTATTACGTAACGCTTTTTTTAAATTCGTCACCTGCAACACAGAAACTTTTTACTTTATTATTTAAGACATTTATTAATCCTTAAACATATATTATCTTATTGTGTCATAGCAATACATCGCTTTACGCACTACGTCTTGAGGTAAAGACTCCAAATCTTGAAATGGTGACTCGATTGTGTTATTATCAGCATCTAAAATAACAACTTCTCCTAAATCACTCTTGGGTACTTTCTGTAAAAATTTTACATAAATATTGTATATAGTTGATATAGTAACGTTCATAAATATTTTGATCACTAATATCTTCGTCACATGTTTCACAAAAAGTTAAATAAATATCTTGATGAAAAAGTCGTGGAGAAAATTTCCATTTTTTTCAATAATATTTTTAATTATACAGGGTGTTCCGAATTAAATTAAAACTCATACTTTGGGAACATGCAAAGGATCGATAAACTAAGAAACAATTTTTTTTAAATATACTCGTTTTTGTTTCGTTTTGAAAAAAAATTGCAAAAAAGACAAAATGTATTTTTTTTTAAATTTATTGTTTTCAAAGCAAAAAGAGTATTGTTTTCGTGTACAATTTTAGCAATAATGCTTCAGAGGCAGAAGATCCTTTAGAAATATATTTCTAAAGGATTTTTTTTCTTAGTTTATCAATTTTCTGTACACTACTAAAGTTTAACCATTTCAATTAGAGGAATCCATTGTATATAAATATAAATATATTTATAGATAGATACCTGAAGTGTTTGAGTAGGTACTCCAATTAGAAATGGCATAGGCGCTAATAAATAATCTATTAATGATAACGGTAGAACAGGGATGTATATATGTTGCCAAATCATTGGATAAATTAAAGCGTTACATGCTTGTACACATGCACTCAACCTCGATAGACGTTTCGAAATGAAAATAATACGGCGTTCATATAACATAGATGCAAATATCATCATCATATTGTGCGAATCTACAGCACTATAATATTCAGTCAAGTTTCTCTGAAACAGTAAAATTATTATAACTTATTTAGATATCTGACAACAATTTTGTGTTCTAAATAATTTCTAATAACATATATATTCTCAATTATTTACAAATATACAAGATGTTCCATTTTAAATAACATGAATAGCTTAAATCTAAACCCGATAGGCAAAAATGTTCCAACAAAAGTTGTATAATCTTAATTTCTAAAAAAGTTAAATTTATTATTTGCCTCTCTAAAAAAAGAAAAAAATAGTAAAATTAATTAAAAAAAAATTTTCTTACAAAAATATATATAATTAAAGGACTGATATTATACTCTTGTAAAAAAATTACATAATTAATATTATGTTAAATAAATACTATATGAAGCTATTTCTAAAAACACGCGCACATGCAATAAAAAATCGATTATTTTTCTGGTAATTTATTTTATCAATATTGATCTTTTTTAGACTTAAAAACTTTTCTCAGAATCATTATTGCCTACTTGTTTCAGCTTGTGCATGCATGTAAATAGTGAATGAGCAAGCAATTAAATGTGTATTCACATGTGCATTGGACTATCAAAGATAAGATGTTCTACATCTAAGTTATTAAAAATATTACTCACATTTTCAGGGATACTAGGCAGTTGAAACTGTTTTGGACTCTGACAAATAAAATTCTGAAAGAAATAAAAAATATATTTTACGTTAAAAGAAATTTTTTTAAAAATATTAAGACAGTGTATAGCAGATACAATAGATTACATTAAATATCTTATTAAATAAACTTAACAGTTTGGTAAATCATGACATGATAGAGTTCAAAAATTATTTACCGTTGAAGAATTTGGTAATGGGATAGATATGGAGTTTCCAGGTACTGGAACTCCACAAGTATATATAATCTCAAGAAACTTCCAGGGATCCTCTCCACTAGCATTGCTAGTTAAGGATGCAATGTGATTCAAAAGTCTACGATAAAAAATTTAACATTTAGGTCCATTTTGAACACACATGACAACACTTAAGTAATATATTTAGACTAACTTGTAAAATGTTTCATGCCATGGAAGGGCGCTTAAGACTACTAAAGCTGTTTCTGTTTTGGGATCATGACGGCAGAATCCAAAAGTCCATTTTGAATCTATGCTAGTGAGCACAAATGAAAAATGTTGTACCAATAAACTAAAACAGAAAATAAAAACAAAAAAATAATAGACAAAGACAAAAAATTATATTTGTATGATAATCAATTATTAACATACTTCTCAAATTCACAAGGATATGCAAATTTAGGAACAGATTTCAGTATTTCTTCATCTGAAAAAGAATTGGGATATTTTTGAAGAATCCAAGCTGGCTTCTCCCTTATTGGCGCAGCTACTTCACAGAAACATTCAAAAAGTTGTTTGACATTTTCTCTGAAAATTTCACAAAAAACCTCAATGTTTATATGATTTGAATAAAAATAGCTTGTACAAGCTTTGAAGGTATTGCAATAAAGTTTTAAAAGTAATTTGTATTGACAATTTTATAAATAATGATCATATTATACTTAATTGTAGTAAATATACTCATATAAAATATATTTTTCAATATTTTTTATATTAAAGTTCTGTTTTTTCTCTTTCAGAAAAATACAGCAAATTTTACAAAAATATAAAGAAAAATATAGAATATACTTTGTGGAATAAAGCAGAAATCTTATATATTGCAAAACCATCTGACTGCAATATAAAAATAATTGTGCTTTGGAAATTAATTATATACCTTGAAATGAGATAAAAGTTACAAAAATAATTAAACAACAATATTTACTAAAATATTTAAAATTACATCAGGGACATTCGAATTCCTACCTGAATGCTCTCCAGGTATCATGTTATTCTCAATTAATATTTAGTGAGAATAAAATAACACTTGAATGGTACTTGAATAGAAATCTGAACATTAGTCAACATCTAATAAAATTACTCACTTTTGTAATTTTCATCCTATTTCAAGATAGAAAATGTATCATATCTCACTCAAAAGATAAGGGATCTATAATGAATGAGTAGTAGTCTTAGAAGTAGGCTGTTGGCCAACTATCAATTCACCAATTTTGATCGATTCATTGACTATTTTTAGAGCCATTTTAGAACTATTTTATTTTTTAGAGCCGTATTGTCCTTCAATCTATTCTAAGGAAGGCAGTAGTCATCAAACAGAAAAGATTTTTTCAAACTCTCTTCTGGCTCACAAACTACAAACTATGGAATACAGATTCATTACAGACCTAGATTTATTGGTGCATCAGAGAAGTTGATTAAAACTAACTTGTATTACTAAAAAAGTAATAAGAATATCGATTATCTTGATCTATTTTTTATGGTTGAATTAGAATACAATTTTAGAACTTAATGTGAGATAAGTATATATTTAATATTTAGTGAAAGTGAGAAATAGCAGTCTAATGTAGAAATAAAAAACTAGATCTAAGATAAACCTAAGCATGTAAGAGTAATTCACTTAAGTAAGAATTATAACAACAGCATTACTAAGGGCCTGAACACAAAGATGATAGTAACCAAGTCATGGAATGTTAAGTAGTAAACGTAGGTTAATTAAAACATTGTACATTGATTTACAACTACATTTCATGAATTCACATTTCACAACTTAGTTAAGTCGAAATAAAAAATCTTGTAAACGTACTAATCGACTTGCCTTAGTCTAGAACCCATGATAACAGCTTGAAAAAGTTAATTACTCAATTTAGCAAACACAATCACAAAATTAATAAAAAATATAAAAATCGATGTGTTTTTCATGAAACAAACAAATTTGACTGAAAAAATGTGTTGTGCCCCGCGAAGCGAGGAATTAATAATAGTAGAAATTTGACACTATATTGAGGTTACGAAACCTGTCATATCGACATAATATATGTAGCAAATCCTTCCCACCGTTCCACCATGGAATTGCGCATACATTGGAGCAGTGTTGCCAATGCTTTCTAACTTCACCCCGGGGTGAATTTGAAATCTCACAAATCCCCCTATATCTTAATTTTCTAAAAGTACATACAATCTCCCTCCACCCCAAAAAAACAAGTAAATAATGCGAGGTCTACAATAAATTAGAAATTCTTAGGGCTACGCAAAATTTAGAGCCCCAACACAGACTTTTGCATAACGCATAAAGCATGTGCATAAGGAATTTCATTGGCCCATTTTCTTATGCATGAGTCAATGGACCAATCAAATTCTTGATGTATATGGTTTATGCGTTATGCAAAAGCTGTGCTCCCCGCTTAAAAATAACAGGGAACCAGAGAATAAGAATTTCAACCTATTGTTGTTATCGTTAACTAGCGACAGCCAATGAGAGTCACGCTTTCTTTTAGGATTGTCCTGCCATTGGCTGTCGCTAGTTAACGATAGCGACAATCATCGATAAAACATTTAGAGAATCCCGCAACTGATAGGTTGAAATTCTTATTCTTTGTTCTCTGCTCCTTGTTCCCTGTTCTTTTTATTCTGCGCAGCCCCTTTTATGCGCACTATTGCAGTTTTGACGATTTGACGAATCCGCTATAATTCAACTTCGTACAAATCTGGTCAGGCCAAAAATTCCATTAGTTAGGTTCATAATGTTCAATTGTACGATATATAAGTATTTATTATAAATTAATAATAAACCTATAATTATAATTGTATTTTAAATTTAGATTTTTAATTTGTAAAATCTAGTTATTATTTTTGAAGTGTAGTCTAGCTCTTTTTTCGAGAATTGGCAACACTGAGCCTATAGTGTTGCATTCTTGCATTCTTATTTTTTGTCTGAATTTTTCTAACCTCTTTACCACAGTGATCGAAGTATATACATGTAAAAAGTACATATACATTGTTATGTACGGAAGAATAGAAGATGGATGAAAAATATAATCTTAATCGTAGGATATAAAGCTTATAAATAAAATAACGCGACAGTAAATATTGTATCAGAACCCTATGCAAGCAAATTCATACTATGGCTATCTGTCAATGCTGGCGTTTGGTCAATGTAACGGAGCTATTTTAACTACGAATTTGAGATTATTTCTGATGTACATACGTTATTGAATATTTGCGTCGTATATTACGATTTCACCTTGGATTTTACTTTGTTACTCGTCTGCATCAACACAGGTCGAGATTTTTGAGACCGTGATAATTGATCATAAAGGTAAGATAGTTTATTTATCTCAACACGCTTAATAAAATAATAATTGCTTTGTCTATGATGCTGTACTAATTTAAATGTAACATAAAAATTTCTGATGTAATTAAATCAATGAATGTATAGCTGTATACACTCAATATTTAGTAATTAAAAATTCACTTAAGTAGCACGCATCATTTACAAAGTATTGGAAAAACGCAAAAAAGTGTATATAAGTGCTTTTTTTCTAGCACTTTGCAGGCGCTGCAGTATTAGTTGAAAACAGTGTTGTTTTTACATTTATTATTTATTTATATAAGTTATATAATGTTTGTTCTTTTATTATTTTCTGTACTAGACTGAACTAGAACTTTTCTTCTTGTTCTTGCCAAATATCGAACATAAACCTATTTTTCTCTAAGTGTAAAGAATGTATGTACATTAGTTCATTTATATCTCTTAAAACACTTTACATTTGTATGGATATAATATTGTCCAGATTTAGTTATATCAGAATTAAAAAAATTTTTATGTAGGCAATTTTGAATAAAAATATTTGCTATTTCTTGAAAACACCTATTAGCTAATGGAAGAGTTAAAATTCATATCACCAATAAAGGTTCCATTTCTACCATTTTAAAATTAGAAGAAATAAGAATTGTATCAAAGTTGGTGAAACCATTGTAAAATTAACTTCAACTTCTGTTAAATTTACATTGGTGGATCTAAGAATATTTGTCTCTTGTATTTTTGAAAATTTTAATACTTTTTTAACTAAAATTTTTCTCTTCTTTTCTTCCTCCCTCTTCTTCTACTCTCCCCCTTCTTTCTCTCTCTCTATTAAATGTACATGTATCTGTTAAATATTTAAACGATTGTATCAGAAGTTTATTGTTTTTCTCTGGAAACCAGAGTCGTATATAAAAAATGTTTTATTTATTTTTTTTTTAATATAAAATCAATCCATTTGCGCTTATACTAGATAGTTATGGAAATTTACTATATTATATCATGAATAGTTTCATGTATAATTTGTTTCTTGTGTATTATGATTATATATATTAAATTTGCAAGTGTTAAAAGAAATAAGTGAAATATAAATGTACATAATCAGTTACTTTGTTGTTATACATTATCATATAATATACTTTTATATTATTAGTAATATATTATAATTGTTAATTTAGAAAATATATTTATTTTCTATCTCTATATATAGAAATTATGTATGTATTATCACAATTTTATGTCAAAATTTAACAGTAATAACTTAAATCTTGAGATATTAATTTACTTCGATCCAATTTTACTTTACATATTTTGAAAAATTTTTTTATTATATCAAAATTATATGTATACATTAAACTGTAAAAATTATGCAACATTAAGCCTAGTAATTGTCTTCTTTCTTATAGATGGGCGACATTAAATATTATGGAAAAAGAAGAAGTATTGTAAGAAGAATTGGGTCTTTTTTACCATTGAAGCCTCCACCAAAAATATATGTCAGTGTGACACCATTACATTTGATGACAAATTCAATGGTTAATGAGGAAACTAGTAGCAATTATGTTGATACAAATGGATATCCTATAAGGTCAGCACATTGTTTTACATTAAGTTATACAGGATATCTCATAACCATCATGTAAATCCTCTATCAAACTAACAGAGCCAAATGAGCAGAATCGTAAAAGACCTTTTGAATTATTTAGTGTATAATTGTACAACACTTTCATAGCGTATTCTGAAGATAAAGTGCGGTAAAAAATGCTAATACAAAAATGTCAAAATAATTTTTAAATTATAACCAATCAAAAATAATAGTATCGCTATAATTATAGGGTACGGATTTTACTCGATATTATTGGCTATATAATTATACTAGCTATATAACTGGTTATAATTTAAAAACTATCAGCCTTGACATTTTAGTATTAAACTTTTTTACTCTATCTGTAGAATATGCTATCAAAATATTATACGGTGGTTTTGAAAGGTGGTTATTCTTATAACTAGTACATATATGTACATATTTATTTTATTCTCTAATATTTTAAAAATTGAATTTAATAACAGTTTTTCTAACAGGTCAGATCTGTTGGAGCCAATTAGTTTTGGATCGGAAGTACGATTGCTAGCGTTAGAGCAAGAATTACAAGAGCTTAGGGAACAAATTTCAACAATTGTGAAAAATAATAAATTGTCTAAATGTATGTAAGACATACATTTTGTTATATTCACAAATATTCTAGAAGGTTTAAAGATTCGTGTTTGTCTTATAGATGCATCTGTAGCGTCTTTGCCTAATGGAGAAGATAATCTAAAATCTTTGGTGCCACCACCACCTCCACCTCCGCCACCACTTCCACTTTCATTTTTACCACCTACAACACCCCATATTGCGAGAAGGGCTAGTTTGCAAGATCACAAAATTGAAGATCGCAAGAAAATTCTGTTGAGTGTAGAGAGATCGACAGGTGATATGCTGAAGGATATCGATAATGTAAAATTAAGACCAGTTGCAAGGTAATTGAGATTAATATTTGCCTATAAAATTTTTGGTCTTTTATCATAGATTAATTATAATATATAGACAACGCATTTGAGGCTTTCACGGGTATTATCTTTAATTATACCAAAAGGTTTGCGGGTTATCGCCCCGTCTTTCTTTATTCTTAATGCCGACGTTTCGGGAATCATGCAGTTCACTTCATCAGGACTGATAAATTATGCACTCCTCACCCTGATGAAGTGAACTGCATGGTTCCCGAAATGTCGGCATTAAGAATGAAGAAAGATACGATAATAAACCTTCTGGTATAATTGAATATATAGAAAAATTTATGGTAAAGAAAAGTTGGAATCTATTTTTGTAATATATTGTTATTTGTTTTAGAATAGATTTACAATGTAGATGTAAGGTGCTTTTTAATTCACCGATTAATAAATTATGAGATTTTAAAGTTACTTTACCTCCAGTATTAGCATTACTTAAGACCTAAAGTATATTGTCCAGTCGGATTTATATATTGTGTGCATATGTGTGCGCGCGCGCGCGCGCGCGTGTGTGTGTGTGTGTGTGTGTGTTCTGCATATTCTTTCCTCCTTCCTCCCCTCATATAATTATCTTTGATTATAACATATTTAGTTAAAATACTAATGCTAATTGAGCAGGAACGTATTTTCTTTTTATTGAGAATGAGATGAGATCTTACGGATAAAACAGAACTGTTTAATCAATCTTTTAGAAATAAAGACAATAGTGTATATCTAAATGGATTGTCTTTATTTGAATATTTGTTATTCTTTTAACCCTAACTCGCCATACTGGGATATGATATATCCAATGCGATTTTTCACATTGTGATTTCAAACGATTTTATGATATAATTTAATCAAATATTTTTTTATTTGATCTTTGTTTATCTGTTTTTGTCTTACTCTGAGAAATCAATTTTACACAAGATAAGCTAAAAAAAAATATTTCTATTCAGAGGTATAGCTTGACAAAGTTACAAATTCTGGTATGATCTGGCGAGGAAAGTAATTCAAAATAGATATGGCGAGCTAGCATTAAAGGAATGACGAATACTCAAATGAATGATAGTCAATTTAGATATATGTACCATTGTATTTACTTTATTTATGTAAAAGCTCATTCCATCTTCACATTAAGGGAAAACATTACTCGAGCACCCCCGTACATCATCTTATCCTTGTTTAACATTGGGTGAACAACAAGGACAAAATGATATACCAAAGATACTCGGGTAACGATTCCAAACACAGTCTAAAAGAGATATACACTCCTGTTCAATTAGCGTTAGTATTTTAAGTAAATACTTTCCAATGTGAAATAACTGTGTAGAGGAGGAAAAAAGAAGAAGAAAGGAGGAAATAGAGACATACACAGACACGCGCACGCACATACACACGACGTATAAATCTGACTAGGCAATCTTCACGCGATATACCTTATAGATATTGTTAATATCGACGGTATTGTAACTTTCAAGTTTCATAATTCAAAAAACACTAATTTAAGAATGGTTTTATTGTAGTGTTTGAAAAATTTTTAACACCAGCTATTAGATTCTGAAACAAAAAATAAAGTTGTAAAAAGATAGAGCCTTTTTTTACACTTATGCGATACAGTATACCCAACTTCTTGTATACCTTGTATTTTTCAATTCATATTTATTGAATATGAATATATACAAAAATATTATTTTTATTCACACACAGTGTTAGAGAAAGCATAATTTCTCATTTATAAAACTGTAATCTAACATTTAATAATGATTGTACAAAAACTGAGAGTTCTCAGAAAATAAAATAAGATTGTATATTAATTTTTTTATAGGTCTCCAGGCGGCCATCCTATACGGGTGAAACGTGAAAATAGTCCATGTAATGATTTACAAGAAATTTTACGAAGGCGCTACATTGTAATGCAATCTCCCGATAGTAAGAATTCATCAGCTAATTTAGCTATGGACAATTCATTTTGAATGGATTTAAAACAAATTGTCCATAATCAAGTATGTGAAAACATTTTCGAATATTTTCTTTATACATGTATTTATACGAAATTTAGGGTTTACGATAAGCATGATCTGTCGTATGTTTGACTAGTAATTATGTTCGAATTTTTGTACTTTGCATTAACTGAAGTCTAAAGGCGGTATTCATAGTTTGTCCTTATTTCAAGACTGTAAGTAATGTCTTAGGATGCTAATACAGCCCTCTGATTGGTTTATGACATTTTAAAATTGTACTTAAGACGATCTTAAAAATAAAATTCGACTATGAATAGCGGCTTAAGAGACTTATGATGAGAGACTTATGCCTGTATCAGACAGAGGTTGAGATTGGATTGGAATTTAATCAAAAGAAAAAGCAATCTCAAGTTTTAGTGACCTTTGCTTTGATTAATCAATTTTCAATCCAATTTCAATCTTTAGTATGAATTTTAAACCAAAGATCAATTTGCTGTAGCAATGTGATGTTATTAAAAATGTTTGTTTTCTAATAAAGTGACGATAATAATTTAGATAAGTTTAACGAAAACTATTTTAGTTTGTATTTATGATTAAAATCTAAAATGATTATTCTAAAGGTAAGGTCCCACGGCCCGTGACTCGGCATTGCTCACCATGATTTGGAAAGCCTCTACGCGCCGTGGGACCAGGATGATTCGTCGTTATTGTTTGCAGTTCGTGGCTCGTGACATGTCGAAGATGGTGGTAAGTTTTGCGAGTCAAAAAGGCCTTTGTGAGTAGACGAGTCGATAAAACATTTTTGTTGGATTCGTCAATGATTACATTCAGTAGAATGCTTATTTTGCAAATATTGAAAGTTTTCTTTGCTGATGTAAGAAGACTGTAGAAAATCTAAAAGTATAATTTTATCAGTGCAAAAGAAACTTCCAACAGTAGCAAAACAAATATTCTGCTGAACGCAAGGCTTGCAAAAAGTTATTTTATATAAATTTTTTCATGTAATTATAGAAATTCGATCATTTTTTTATCATCCTACTCCTACTTCCTACAACTTGAATGATCAAAAAGTTACTTAATAAATCTCGATCAGCAATAGTAAACAGGTTCTGCCACATTTATAATATATGCAAGCATAGAGAAGTGCAACGACGCACGGCAGTTATAACTATTTTGTTCAGTCAAGGCATTGTCTTTTGACTTGCATAATTTATCAATAATTCGGTCAGTTTGGCAAACCGATGATTTACGAGCCGCGAGCCACCCTGTTTCTATGACGCGTAGAGGCTCGTCGCTCGTTATATGACAAGTAGTTCAGTTCTCCGTGGCACCGCTGAGGGACCGCGATTTTAGTATTTTGTATATCAATTTCGAGACCGATCTTGTAACGAGCCTAGACGAACAAAGACAGATCACCAACCATATTGTGCCATGGACCGTGGAATCCTGTCTTAATATTGTAAAGGCTATTATTGAAGTGTCGAGTTAATGATTTTTCTTATAAGATCTAGCTATAGAAATTTTTCTCTTGTTTAAAATAAGTGAATATTATTTTCGTGATGATTTGTAACAAAAAAAAATGGAATATACAGTTCCTATTATCATTTATAGATTATCGATATAAATGGGAAATTTTACTAACTCGCATAAATAAAAAATAAATTTTAATTTAATTAACAAATATTAAATATTGTAATTATTTATAATTTTATTTAATTTAACTATATTATACATGTTATGAATATTATGTAATAAATATTTGTTTCAATAGTATGAATGTACGTTTGATGTATAAATGAAAGTTTATTTTAGAGAATATCTCATTAATTTCTTCTTTCTTGACCTTTAAATATTTCTATAATGTATGTACTAATTTACTATATACTAATAATACTAAATTTATATAAATAAATAAATTTATATACACTCTTAAAATAGATCCATATTTATATGTAAAAGATTGATTTATTTATTTTAACATTTTTATATTTGTATAATATTGTCAACATTTTATGATAAGAGAGAGTACTTAAAAGTTTTAAAAAATTTAATCCAGCAGATTAACTATTTGTTGTACTTAAAAAGATATTGCAAGAAATTATTAATTATTACAATATTAATTGTAAACGAATTGTTTTTTTTACAATTATATATTCTATATATTACAAAGAAATTATTTGTAACGCGGTTTAGGGCGCATGGAGATCCATGGCTCTGAGAGAATCACGTGTCAAATTGTCAACTCTCTGATTATAGATTCTCTACTTAAAACAGGCGCTATATGTATAATGCGCTCGAGTAATTTTACCTTGTCGAATAATTAAATTAATCGGTATTTTTGTATCGGTATTAATTTTTTTTTTAATTATTTTGAATTGATTATAATCAATATTTTTTAATTATGATTAACTGTAATATTGTTAATAAATTTTTTATTTTGTCGTTCAAGTGCGTAAATAAATTCGTGGACTTATTGATACTTGATGCAATTTAATTGTGATTATTATGTGCACCGTATTTCTTTCTTTGAAGTAATTTTTATTTAGTTGCCAGATAATTAATCGGCAGTGATTAGGAGCAATAAATCGATTCGTATGTAAAAATCAATCAAGTATATCTGTGAACGTATTGATACGTGACACACAAATTATAAAACTTTTGATTGTAGCTAATATATGCAATAAGTTTCTTTTAAACAATTCTCGATTGTCAAATGATTAATTGATAGTGATTAATAGTGATGATAGGTTCGTTCATGAAAATTTATCAAGTGCGTGAGTAAATCCGTTATTGATACTTGATACACGATACAATTTACAAAAGAAAGGAAAATTTATGATTGTGATTACCAGAAAAAATATTACGTTTATTTCTTCAAATAATTCTCAATCACTAAATAATTAATTAGTAGTTTAATTAATTAAATAATTAAATGATTAATTAGTAGTTCTTAATAATAACACACTGATAGATTCATTTATAAGTCAATTAAGTGTTCGTGAATAAATTTGCGTAAATGTGAATAGGTGATACTATTATTTATGTAAAAGAAAAAAACTTATGAGACTTGTGTTACACGGTGTCGATTATGTCATGGGAGTCTCATTGGAATTCAGATTCGCCAGCATAGAATTATTCTCTCCAGCTATACAGTATGAAGACATCGGATGTCTACAAGGTAAGACAGAGAGAAAGAGGGGTGGAGGGGAAGAGAGAACGTGTACGCGCAGGGCTGGGCAAAATACATGAATTTTGTATTTGTAATGCGAATTATAAAATACTATCGATCTTAGTAAGTATTTCGAGAAGTATTTTAAATAGACTGCATTGTTGATGTAGTTTATTTAAAGTATTTACTAAGATTGACAGTACTTTGTATTTTATATTATAAATATAGGTACGAAATACACATTTTGCCCAGCCCTGCATACGCGTACCATTGTGTTATGCGTTTCGCGCGTAGTAAGTAGTTGATTGTAGTGAATGCCGTTTCGGACGATGAGTTGGGCCGACCCTGCCTATCTTCCGTACGCGTCTCATAGATCGTTAAATATTTTTTCTTATGATGTATAAAAACTAAGCATCGGATAACACTTTGGTAACGGAAAAATGGTCTTAGAATTAAGTTAGAAATATATTTTAAGGACAAACGTTTGCTCCGGGACATTCTATATGTCCCATTTCTCAAAAAGTCCTGAAAGGGTTAAGGATTCTTTTAAAAAGCAAATAACGATGAATTTTTTTTCAATGAATTATTTTGAAAACGCAAAATTTATGGAAGAAATGTTATATATTGTTATTTATTTTTGTCAAAAGAATACTTATAAAATATCCATTTCTCGATGACATATTAATATTTTTATACAAACTATAAAATTATCATTTAAAAAAGTGTCAATTTTATTTGCAAAAATTATATATAAAGATGTGTAAAGATTTTTAATTTTTTAATTTTAGGTTTTTTATTTAATTCTTTTTTATTACATAACATATTATAAACTTGTCAACTCATTTAAACTGATTAATCTTTCCTTTATCACTGTGAGATCTGAAAAAATTTTTTTGTATATTTATTGCTATCAACAAAATTCTTATTAGCATTGACTTACCTATATGAATAGAGAATTATACTTTCATGTGCACATCATCCCGTACATTCATATGCGAACGATACAAGTACGTGTGACGTACACGCGAGGATATGAGGATCCTGGATGTACATACATACATGTGATTTTCGCAACAACCTGTGTCTCGCTGATTCGACCATCATTTCGAGGTGAAGGCACAGTCGAAGCAACGCGTTCCATTCAGTGTACCGACAACCACAGTACTGCTAAGACACATACTTTCCGCAAAGTGTGTCTTATATCGTGTAAATACAGGTGTGTTTTTGTGCCTAATTTATATTTTTTTGAATATTTGTTTTTCATCTCGCACTTCCGCTCATATGACTACAAATACAATTTCTCGTGTGGAACAATGATCGAGAGAGAGAGATTGGTAAGAATATATATTACATATACTTTAAAATTCTTATATCGTGTTAGAATATTTCTGTATTTCAATATCTGAATGATTTTTAGTTGCTAAAGAAGGAAGTAAGGTTAAAAATGTTCTATTACAGATTTTGAGAAATCAAAAAACTTTATTTTCGAAAATGTACTCTACAAATTTGAACAATTTACAACTTTTTCTTTTTACGGAGTGAAATAGATAAGAGTTATTCAGGTATTAAGAAACAAAAATTAGTGTAATATTTTGACATTAAATATTACTAAGATATTTTATTATTTTAATGTATTATTTAAAATTGTCAACAATTAAAAGGGACTTTATACTATCATATATTTATTTTTATATTATAAAATATTCTAGTTTCTTATAGCTATATATATTATAAATCTATTTTTATTACTTAATTCAAAGTAGAATTTATGTTCAGAAATAAATTAAAATTTATCGCAATGTGATTTGAGTTAAGTATTATATGATTAAACCTTCTCGTGCGTGCGTAACCTTATTTTGTATATTTATTCTTACAATATAATTTTGATTTTTAATAAAAATGAGAGAGATTATTCGAGAATAAAATCAAATAAGTTTATGATATGTTAATTTTTAGTTCCACTCGAAATTTTAATTGTTCAATAAATTAAATATTATGAAATGTTTTCTCTTCTACAATAACAGTTACATGTAAATCGTAGTAGTCGAATTTATTGTTGCTTTTTTCCACAATTCCTTTTGCCTTGCTCACTACAAGAGTAACTATCAATACAAGATGTTTTGACAATTCACAAAGATTCGATTATCATGATTGTGTGATCAGCGTATTTATATACTTATATATTTATATACTTATATACTTTGTATTGTATATTTTTGTATTTAATATTGGAAGTTAAATAGAGTGCAAGCAATGCACGTATTGTCTAGTAATATAAATGTTATATAATATGTTAGATTGATATTTATATTGCATAGGAATAATGTATTGGCCATCTCGCACAATACGAATTTCTTTCTGTCTTTCTCAATCTATTTTTACGTTTTATAATATAATTATAGTCGCATTAAGATAATTAAAGCAAAAATCAGGTTTAATGATCCATATTAGAAAAATGCAACGTAAAATATTGTACAAATACAATGCCTTGAAGGTAAGAAGATTTATACAGTGAAAGTCAATTAATTCTGCAGCAAGGCTAAAACCTTTACCGTCTGTCTCTGTAATGTAAGAAAAATTTACGGTTTACTGCTCGTTGATTACAATTGAATCATAGCATATGCGAAACATGATAATCTCTGTAGACATATCGATACGACTTTAGGAATCTAATACTCAAGAAATCAATTCATTATTTTTCTCTGCATTTACTAATAAATAACTACCAGATTTCTATTAATTGCAGCTGTTACTTCAGTGAGATGTCTGCTACCGGTTGCAGATGTTTCTGTTCCACAAATATGACTATGTTCTTTTAATTATAGCCTCTTCGTTAATGTAATTGCTATTAGAGAGAGAAAATCGTAATTACATCAGCTAAGAGACTATAATTAAAAGGACATAATCAAATTCGTGGAACAGAAATGGAATTAACAAAATTTTAATTTGAAAACTTAGAAGAGTATGAGTCTTCAATTCTATTAAAGCGGATTTTGTTTATCTCTTTCAGATTTGATTTTATTGGAATTATGTTAAATCAATTTTTTAATTCAATTTATAAGCACTTTAATAAATAATTCTCACTGAATAATTGATTTTTTCATAATTTTGACTATTTTTCCAACGTACATATCATTATGTACATCAGATATCTGTGATGGCAAAGAATTAAATAATTTCAATAGATAATCTTTGATGTACATTACAATCTATGAAGGGTGTAAAAATTAAAGGTTCAACTTATGACAAAAGTTTATTACATTGACTGAGATTTAAATCTATATTAGAAAGAATATTTAACAATTTTGGAACACATTTGTAACAAATAACGAGCAACAAATGTAAAAAAAATGCTTATTTGATAATCTTTATTTAGATATTTTTAACTCAAATGTTATGCAACTATGTTAATACAGTATCTGTTATGTCGCATGATCTTGTAGCAGTTAACATCGCGGTTAAAGATTGAAAGTGAGTTTCGTCGGTTATTAGAAAGCAGCGCGCCAGTACGTCGGCATAACAAAATATTCGCAAATCGTTAAATTAATCATAAATTTTGTATTGCATTATCTCAAAACTAACTAATGCTTACACTTAAATTTTTGACGTTTTTTGTTCACAAAAAAGTAGTAAAATAGAATATAAAGATATTAACTTTTTGTGTCACAAATTTTTATATTAGACCGATTTTTTTTAAACTTTGTACCCGGGAGTTTTTTTGGATCGCTGATTACAAATTAAAAGTCAAAATTTTAAAATTCAAAATAGCTGATCTGATATCGTAGACCAATAATTCAAACAACTTTCATTATTTATAAAAATAAATTATTTCATAAGAAACAGGTTCTAATAATAATGGAATACATATTTCTGATTTTGCCGTTCGTAAGCTTACGCGCGCGATCGTGATCGGCGCAGCCGGCGGCGGCTATAAGCGGTCAAGGCAGCCGTGAAGTCCGTTCTTTATCTTTCGTCATTTCAATTTATTACTTTTAGTATTCGAAAATCTTAACCTTAGACGCAGTAATTAAACTATCGCTGAGTGCAGTAATTGTAATAATATGGTTACTATATTATGTACAAAATAATATAATGAAACTTATGTACAAAATAATATAATGAAACTTATGTACAAAATAATATATAGAAACCGTAACTAAATAACATCGAACTCTATATGTATTCCTGTGAAGTTGAACATAGAAATGAAGCGAAAGGAACTATCTGCATAAACAAAAACGGCAAGTAGAAAAACGAATAAAATTTGTAATGATTTATTTTAGTTACAACATAATGATTAGGAAAAATTATCTTTTTTAATATTAAGGATGACTTAATAATAGTCGAAACGTTTATTATTATTTATAAATATACATAATATAATATAGATACATACAAAGAACTAGTGAAGGCTTTTATGTTCCTTTTTTACAGTAATTAAAATACAAATTTTTCGAATTATAAAAATACAGATATTACTAACAGTAGCACAGTAAAATGTATTGAAGATTTTATCGTTTAATCCGTTTTTATACAATATTTATATTAAACACGTCAATTTGGTTTCGGCATTTATATTTTAAAAAATGTTTACTTGATAAAAAAAGTCGCACAATAAAAAATAAAAATTTCTTTTAAAGATGAAGATTAGCTCATTTTAATGCGGTATTAATGAAATTGAAAAACAAAATTTCGTTTGTCCCCTCCCCCCCATAAAAAATAATAAATATGGAAAAAACGTTTTTGTCTTATATTATTCGATTTATCTCAAAAACTTGACGTGATAGGCATCTTTCGCTAGCGGATTTATATTCAGCGTCTTCGAATTTATTGAAAAGATCAAATTTTGTTAGATAGTGTGTGTTAATTAAAATTTATAATTAAATATTTAATCATATTTGAAATGTATACTATACATTCCAAGCGATCTTGTATTTATTATATTTTACTTATTAATAATAAGATATCATGCTTCTAAATATTCACTAGAAATACATTCAATGCAGATATCAATTATATGCAATGTTATCTATTTCATGTAAATTGATAATATTATCTAATGATTATTTTTTTATATTTCAGGTTAACTATTGAGTCATCGGCGTAATCGTCGATCGCTGTTTTGTAAGTTATAAAATAGCTTCGACATACTGCGATTCAGTCAGAAATGGCAGGCTGAACGATCGATAGCTTTAGTAGCAGAGAAGTCGCGTAAAGAACTCGACGAGCAAAGGCTGTTAATTTAACTTTACGCAACAAGTACAACGCACACGAGATCTGTATAGTGCCAATATGACATATTTACAATCAATTTGGGAGGTAATTGGTTTCTTGTTATTGTCGACTTTTGCAATATTAGATAGCATCATCAGGTCACTCATTCCCAAGAAGTATAAAATGAAGAATATAGATGGCGAAATTGTCCTCGTGACAGGGGGAGGTGGAGGATTAGGGAGGCTTCTCTCCCTCAGGCTGGCCAACTTAGGCGCCATTGTCATTATTTGGGATATAAACGAGAATGGTAAGTCCAAACTATAAGAATAAGAAGTAACGAGAGTTACTTAATTAACACTATCGTTATCGTTATATTTTTTTCACAATGACGATTTTTTTTGATAATAACTTTATATTTTTTTATGACAGTATAAAGTCAGACTTGGAAAAATTACTTTTTTATAATTAAAGAGTATTTTATTATTATCATTACATGTTATTCATTTAAAAACGTTTTTATTTTTACTTTACTTATTACGCAACGAGTAAAAGTAACGTATTAGTATAATGATTTTTTTCCAAACACAGCGTTATCGTTACCGTTTATCAAAACATAAATAGTATCTTGGATTTTAATTTTAATATAATATTGAATGACATATTAAAAAATTGTTAAATTGTTAGTCAAATTTAATTCGTGATAATACTGCGGTAGTTTATTAGAGTTTGCGCGCGTTGTAAGTCTGAAAAAAGAATTTCGGCACGATTTAAGAATCTACATACATAGTATATATAAATTCACATGAAATTAGCATTCTCGATCTAGCTTGACCGTTATATAGCATGTTCTCATCGATATTTAGTTTAATTTATTGGACTCTCACGGTTCAATAAGATTTGATATTGTTATATTTTTAAGTAAAATATTACAATTATATTTATAAAATATTAGATAAAAACATTGATAAAATTCACCCAAAATTAATATCTTAAAATTTACACCAAATAATTATCTAAACATTTAAAATCCAGCTTGACTGTTAAATCTTTATTCTTAATTTGATGTATAATTACATCTACGGTTTTAAAAAAAATTACGGTATATTATTCGAATTAACGGACGCCGTATCGATGACCATGATCTTGACATATATTCTCAAGGATATAATCCTATGTGAATCCCAACAGGTTTTTAGCTGTTGCTCGTTATTTATTATTAAAAAGGATTTAAAAAGTGATTTATTTCTACCCCATATACGTATAATATTCAGAACTATCCCAAATTCTTTCTTGCTTACATAATGATTTTCCACGTAAAACGAAGTTCACCCTATATCTCCCCTATCCAGGTATACGACTTTTCACGCGAAATGACAGGATCCATCCCACTCGCCATGGGCCCTTGTTCCCGCAAAATCTTAATTACAATGTAAATGGTTATAACTCTGCGAAAAGAATCGTACAGATCTCGGTCACCCCGCATTGTTCTCGTCGCGGAAAGCCCTTTCAAACTAGCACTCGCTCGACTCCACATGTCATTTAAAATGTTTCGGCTTTTTCTCTCGCTGTCCCCCGGAGTTATAAGGTATATATAAGTATACTTTGGAGATCAAATAATAGATTTTATAATCTCATTGTATTTCTATAAGATCCAATTCTATGTCTTAAACCATTCAAAAGTTATTTAGATGACCCGGGCATTTTTGATGGGTAGCCATGGGTACTGCATATTCAAAATATCAACAAACATTTATGCTTTAATTACTATTAAGAGAAATCGATTCTAGTGAAAGTATCGTAGGAAATGATTGTATTTTTATGTACTATGAAAAGAGCAGCTACTCTTCGGATGAGAAGCCAAGTAGCAGGAAAGAGATATAAAGAATGGAACTTTCTACAGATCTTTACACACGACATACATATATATTACATTTTATTTTGTTTCTTACGTATATATATATTTTTTTATTACTTTTATAATTTTATTTACAATACAAATGATTTGTTTAATAAATTTTTAAAAACTTGGAAATAATAAGTATTAGTGTGGCATATAATATTAAGAATATATATTAAAAGTGTTAAAAGTTATTTAATAATTCTTACTATTTTTGTAAACTTAAAAATAATAAAATTACTGGAACTAAGAGAAAAGAAACAGAGAAGAGAAGAGTACAAGGAATTTTTAATTATTATTATATAATTAAAATGTTATAATTTTAGATTATTATTTACAATCGTATGTGCGCGCGCGCTAACTAAAATTATAATATAATACTTTGTACAGACACACTATGTGTCTGTACATTATAAAGTATTATTTTTTTTAATATTAGATGTAATTATTATATATCTTGGTGAAAAAATTGTCTGAATGTGTCCGAAATTGCCCGAAATATAGTCAAAATGTGTCTGAATTTTCTAAAAATTGTCGAAATGTACAAATTCGAACAGTTACAGACAAAATACTTTCCGTCAAGTTTTGGCAATACCTATTTAAATTTGTTATGTTTTTATATTTTTCGAACAAACTTTAATACATTTTTTTACACCAGAGTGTACAGTGTTTTTCATTATCTCGATAAAATTATCTAGATGAAGAAGTGGCTTTATCTTATCTTCATTTAGATTATTAAAAATATAGATTATCTTTATCTTATCTTAGATAAAAGAAATGTTATATCTTTTTCAAACTATCTAAGATTGTACAAGAGTATTATAAGAAATTAACTTCCAGTAGTAGTAGTAATGAAGATATTTTTCGTTCTATAAACAAAAAACTGAAATTAGTGCAACACTAGTCATTCAAAGATATATTGAAGTTGTTTCATATTTAGAAATAAATCTAAAGAAATAGATATTCTTTGTATCCACACGTTAAATAAATTTTTCAAGTATAATACATCATTGCTATCATCAGCGCCTCGCTTTAGTTGTAAACAACAAATATTAATTTGCACGTAGAAATAATTTATCAGACGAAATGTTCAAACAACTTTTGTTCTTAAAAAATAAAAATTTATAAAAATATGAAATCGCATTTTTTGTATCCTAAATTGTTTTACCTAATAGTTACTTAAAAATAAAATTATTTTAAAAATTATCTAGATAAAGCTTTTTTTAGTTTTATCTTTTATCTAGATTAATATAAAATTAATCATCTTAATCTAAGATACAGTTTTGTGTAATTTATCCTATCTATATCTAAATAATTTTTTATTATCTAAACGCAACACCGGTAGTGTATAATAATGTTCATTTACAAGTATAATTGAAAATTTTTTTATTCAAACAGTAATAACAGATCACACTATTTCTTTTTAAATAAAATATTGCTTGTAAGTCTGCAGTACAGTCTCATTACAAAATAGATTAGAATTAACATCAAAGCAACAATGATTTTACAATAGTCGCCTTCAGCAGAATGTTTATTTTGCAACTATTAAAAATTTTTTTCAACCTGATAGGATTATATTTTTAGACCTAAAAGTCAGATTTAATCGAAGCGGACAAAACTTTCAACTAATGTGCCCGATGAATACAAAAATTTGTAATTGAGCTACAAATTGTATTTATTCAAAATTTTTACGTTAAAAAATGTAATCATATATTTAGTAAAATTTTGAGTTTTTAAAAATGTTTATTCAAAAAAACTGATTATTTAACATATTTATATTTATTCAAAATATTAAAACAAAATATAAACTGATAAAGAAAGCTAAAATAAGCAATTGTTATCTCTTAACTATAACCGGCACTATGATGATTTTAAGTAAAAAAATGAATTTTATTTATTTTTTTATTATATTCAAATTTGATAAGAAAGGAAAACTTAAAAATTAAAAAAAATATTTTTGAAAGCATTTTTATTTTCTATTTATAAGTATTTATTATAATTGATATAATATATAATTTTATATATTGAGTTTTTATTCTAAATGACGTATTATTTTCATCTTCAATTTATTTAGTTCTATACTGTGCCATGTCATTAATCTGCTATGTCATTAATGGAGGATTATTTATTGCTTTCATTGTTTTTATAGATTTCTATTTTCTTGCAGGCTTGCAAGCTATGCATAAATATTATAATACAGAGTAGAAGTGAATACGGAAACAAAAATATTCGTAATTATATTTCAAAAATATTTATTTAAATGGAATGAAAAAATATTTATTTGTTTCTTTTTGAATAAAAAAGAATTGTATTCGAATAGATATTTTTAATCATTTTTTGTTCATTTATTTAAATATTAGGTATATTCATCGGGCATACTTTCAACAGTAGGAAAACAAACATTCTGCTGAACGCAACCAATGTCAAAATTACTTTTACTTTTCTCTTGGGACTTTCTTCTTATAAATGACTCGTAGTATTTCATTTACACTTTTATTATTATACAAATTTGTTTTCTGAATAGAAAATGTAATACATGCACATAATTATTGCTGTTAAAATATGAATAAAGTATAAGACATGACGTTTTTAAACAGTTTTTATTTTATTTCAGGTATCGAGGAAACTGTTAAACTTGTTCGTGCGGCCGGAGGTACGTGTTATGGCTATGTTTGCGACTTATGTGATCGGACAGATGTATATAAAAAGGCCAAAATTATTAAGGAAGAAATTGGCAAGGTAAACACAATTATTACAAGCATTTTAATAATGATATTGTTTTAAGAAAAATTGGAATTATTACCAAGCTCAGATAAGTATAAATGTGCTACAAACGTATGATAACGGTATCCTCGCGTTTATTTAATTGTTTAATAAAATTAATGGAATAAAATTAATCGAAAATATGTTTGAAAACGTAATATCGAAAGACAAATCGGTCGAAGGCTCTTCTCCTATTTAAAAATTCATATTTATTACTTATTGTAAATTGTAATACTTTATTAACGCATCCAAAGATTATTTTCTTTGTTATTAGTTTTGATTTTTGTCGCATTTGACAACATGAGTGGTTTACGAATGTTGGTACAGCGTGAAAGAAGCGTATTTTTAGGAAATGAATTATCCGTGATTAGCCAAGCTATTCATTGTACGATGAGAACTTTCCTGTGTATGATATTATGAAATTGTCTATGTTACGCTATATTGCGCTGTATTGCGATATACGTTGGGCTCGATATGTGAGTCTGACCTGGTCTGACCTATTTTAAGAACTTTATTTTATTTCGAAGCGAGAAATATAACTTTTAGTCGTTTTAGATGTCTCTGACATACTTTATGTTTAGGAATACAACATACATATATTGTGCATACTTCCTTCACTTGCATAATATTCATTTCTTCGCCAGCACTTTGGCAAAAAAATTCGTACAAGCTCGAAACGATACTTTTTTCAATAAAAAATAATTATATTTTTCTTAGTTTACTTATTTTATTTATAATTAATATATTATAATAATTAATATATTATAGGTAACGGTTCTTATCAATAATGCGGGTATCGTCACGGGAATGAAATTTTTGGACACTCCAGACGAACTTATTATCAAGACAATGGACGTTAATATCATGAGCCACTTTTGGGTAAGTAGAAAGTCTTTCCTCGTACAAAATTATTCCAATCGCCAGAGTAAATTATCTTGTATTATTTATATTAGCGCCGAAAAATTGAACGTCGATATATCAAACGTGATTTTATTTACTGCGAATTTTTTTGAAATCTGAATTGTACTAATTATATATATATATACTATTTGGAATAACTTGAAAATCTTCTGAAGGCGCAAAGAAAGTAGAATCGAGATGTCGTTGAAATACTATAAAAAGAGATTTCATTCCTTCTCAGTCTTTTACGCATGATTTTGCAGTAAGACATTGATTGCAAAACAATGGTCGAATCAATCGAGATATGCGATTAATATTTTTAATTGTACGATTTACCACAAATCCACAAATTGAGTTCAAATTCAAGAAGTATGAGCTGCCGTCTCATTCGGTTATCCACGAGAATCAACGGAGAAAGGCATTCCATTTCGCTCCTCCCGTTTGTTGCCGTTGGTCAGGTGCAAGAACCGGTCAGATAGGTTGTCGACGGACAAGCAGTGCTGTAGTATACTGTAGCGTAGTCTCACTGTGTGTTGCGACACGCACGAGCTAGCTTACCAAACATAAATAATTCTTTAATTCAAATTCCTGCTTAATCGACGATCCGCTTACAGGCTTTCGTTCGTTTGAAAAATGTAATTACATTGATTTTTTACTCTTATACATACATTATATACACCGACATATTATTATATATCAAAACAAAATATTTCTGTCATAATATTATAAATGTCATATTATATATGTATTATATTTCAAATAGTTTCTTTGTAATTTTTTTTGTAGTATTATTTTTGTTTAGATATTCGTAGAGCTATTTAATTAAATTTGCAAAATAAGATTTATTAATGTCAACTATTTCCATAAAAAATATGTTTACTCAAGAGCGGATTAAAAATATATAGGATAAAAAAATAAAATGATATTAAGACCGAATATTTATAGTTAATTTTTATATTATTTGAGACTAACTTAAATACAATCTTAGTCATGAAGCAATTAGAAAGCTGTATTAGTATTTTTAAATATTACCAATAAGGTCTTAAAATAAGAAATTAAATACCGGTCTGAGTATACGTAGAAAATATTAAAAAATCAATAAAAACATAAAAACAATATGTTATATTAAGAAAAAGTCAAGAATAACATATTGTATATATATACAATATGTACATATGTTGGGTTTTTCATATTTTTTAAATACTTAGGTCAGTATTTATATTTCTTATATCAATACCTTCTTAAGTAATTTCTTAAGATGCGAATACAGCTCTTTATTGGCCGGTATTCATAATCGGTTGTTATTTCAAAATCATCTTAAGCAATGTCTTAAGACGGTAATGCAGCCTTTTGATTGGTTTGTGAGACCTCAAGACTGAACTTAAGACGGTCTGGAATATAAGAACTCTGCCTATGAATACTGGCCTTTGATAGGTTTATGACATCTTGGTACATAAGTATATAATTAATATATATGCACATACATATATGTATATATGTTATTGTACGTGTATATAAATAATATATTATAATTATACATTTGCTCATGTAGATATTTTTATAATGTTAAAATATGAAATTTATAATTTTATAATTTAAAATATGAAATATTTGAAAAATATTTTATACTGTATGGAAGAAAATAACAATTTATCAATCTAATCAATAAATATGTATGTATTTTTAATATTTTTAATATTTATTTAATATCTTTATATATATATATATATACATTATATATACATATCGAATGTGCGTAAGAAATTTTTAATACACGCAATGTTTATATGAAGGTTAGAATAGCAATTGTAATTACTCGAAGCAATGTTCTTGGCACCTTTATGACGTATGTACTATCAGGATAACGATGATGATAGAGCGTGACCTATCTTCAATGAAAATGATGCAACACAACTACTTAATAATCATCTGTGCTGACGTAACGTAAAGAATAATAATTCACGTAGACATGAAATTAACGATTGGAATAATTGATACTAAAGCTTTTTATTGTAATTTTTTAAATAATTCCCTCAAGGTTCTCTTGTTAGAAGAAATAAAAGACAATCATCTCATACGATCGATTTAATTTTTATGCAAAACATTAACATGATGAAGTTTATTGCTTACTCTCTAGATTTCTTGAAATAAAATCTTACTCCAAATGATGAAAATACTGCCACTATTAAAAAAGAGTGAAAATATTTACGTTCTTGAATAAAAGTGATAGATTTTCATTTTTTTTGTGGTAAAATTTCACTGTTTTGGTATAAGGTTCATTGAAAAAAAGAAAATATTACTTCTTTTTTGGAGTGAATCTTACTCCGAAAGATTAAAATCTTATTCCAAAAAAGAATGAAAATCTATGTTTGTAATAATCTGTACAAAATTATCTAAATAAAGAGGCTTTATCTTATATATATCTAGATTATTAGAATGTATAATATTATTTCTATCTTCATCTTAAATAAAAGAATCCTGTACCTATTATAATAGATACAGGGTTCTTTATTGCACGCTATTATTGATACAGAATGTAATGTTATCTCAGAGGACATATTGAATTTGTTAAGATGATACGGCAATAATCCAGAAAAGAGTAGAAATAAAACGATTAAAGGATTAAGGGAAGGGATTAAAATTGAACCTCGGTTAAGAGTTAACTGTGAATTGTAAAACTAAGCTATTTGTATAAAATTCTAATACGGCTTTTGATTGATTTGTAACATATTAAGATTGTACTTAAGATAATTTTAAATATAAGAATCGGCTATGAATACCGGCCTTAATAAGAAATAGGAATTGTAATTGCAGAATTGGTTATGTACGAAAACTCGAAAATGTAACGTGGAACCAATTTAGATTCTATCAGCTCTTTCTCAATCCAGAGAATCAGAACTCAAAACAAACGCATTTCTTCGCGATTTTCTTTGTGAACTCGTCGGTGAAGTTTACGAGCGTAGCAATAATATCAATGATTAGATAATAAAACTAATAAACTAATAAACTTTGCTATTTTTTTTTACTCTATTTCAGACTGTGAAAGCTTTTCTTCCAACGATGTTGGAGAATAATAAAGGACACATCGTGAGCGTAGCCAGTTTAGCCGGTCAATGCGGGATTCCAAAATTGGTAGATTATTGCGCATCCAAATTTGCGGCAATGGGATTTGATGAAGCTCTTCGAATGGAACTTGAGGTAACTATAATTTATTGAACAAGTTATTGAATAAATTATTTTAATATTGTCTCAATTAATTCAATTTTTTCTCATTAAAAAAATATTTTGAATATCAACTGTTACAAAAAGAGAAAGAGAGAAAGAGAGTGACCAAAGATCGATGCGATGACAACTGGCTGGATTTCTGCCGGAGATTAATGCTCATTTAATTGCGATGGTTTTGACAGAGTTATGAGCAATCAATGTTAAAATGTTCTTCTTATTTAATTTGCAATAACTCAATAACAAAAAATTGTAGATATTTTTTAAAAACGATTTTTTATAGGAAGGACTTCTTCTTCCTATAAAATGTGAATTCCAATTTTGCCCAAAGATCAGAATCGCACTTTTGAGTGTCTATTACACGGAATGTATGCCAGAATTGCCAGACATGACGATCTTCGATTACAATGAATAGGTTAACGTGGGTTAACGTAACTGAGCAGCATAATGGTTTGTCCATTTGTAAGTTGTACTTCCGATTTCCGCTTCTTTGGTGAATTTTAATCTCTTGACTTCATGTACAGTATCACTGTATAAAAAATATCTCGGAGCTAGTATTTATAGTAAGTGTCTCTAATCTGGTGTCACGAATGCATAGGCTTATATGCAGCCGGGACGTGAATGGCGGATGACAATTCTCAGGACCCCACGCATTTTTTCCGCATTGAAAGATAAACTTTTTGAATAGTCATTTGCATTCAAAATGGATGTGCCCAATTGCAATGCCAGCAACATTCCTCGTTATAAATGGCTGGTGTTTTGTAAACAATTTCTTTATTTTCATCTCGGCCTTTTCGAGGACATAAAGAAATACGCATAAAAACTCTCATTGAATTAATAGCCATTCTCATGTGATATGACTGCATGTGCATGTTTGAGAGTGCAGTGGATGCCCTATGGGCTCTGCGGACTTTACGGGCAGTCAACTTTCTCGATCCAAAAATTTAATAAGACGCGTTACATTAGCAAATGAACTTCACATGTCACTCAACGAAGAGTACTCTATCAAATTATCGCAAAACCATCATTTAAATTTTGGTCATCATATGACAGTCCCTTGACAGTTTCGATGCAAATCTGCTGGCATAAAATGTCAAGAAACGTTCCGTTTAATTTTTATCACCAATGTGTTAACACAAAATGTTCAACAGATATTGTCGACAGAATAGGAGCAGAATGCAACAGTTGATGTAAATCTGCTAATATCTTCTGATCAAATTTGTTACCAATTTGTCGACATTCTACTAACATTTTTCTCTCTCTCTCTCTCTCTCTCTCTATCTGGGTTAGCCATATTTTTCTACGTACTATCACATATATATAACCATTATATAATAAATTGATCAACTCACTGTTACTCTTTTCTGTTCTAGTACGAAGGATACAATATCAACACAACAGTTGTATGTCCTTATTTTATTCGCAGTACCGGCATGTTTGATGACGTTCAATCAAGGTAGTTGAGATTTTGATATTTACAAATAATACAATGAATATACAAAATTACTTAAATATTTTAGAAATTCTTAAAAAAATTTTCTAGAAGCTATTATTTAAAAAATAAATATATTATTATTTGTATTTCTTCTAATAATATAAATACAAATAAATTAGTTTATATATATTATACTACATGTATGAAAGTATATACAATATTTGAAATTTAGATACATCCCGACTCTAAGTCCAAATGCTGTAGCCGATAGAATAATATTGGCGATGAGGTGTAACGAAAAGTATGCTATAATTCCAGGCTACTTACAAATATTGCTTACTTTAAAATGGTAAGTAAATTTGTTATTTCGTTGTCATTTTGTTACTTATAATACTTATATGAAAAAAATTGCATAATCGATAAAACGCAGGATATTTCCATGGCCATGTGTCGCGATGTTTCTTCGTGGATTAGTAAGAGACGTTTCGCCAAGCTGTGAAAATAGCAAATCATATACAATTGCAGCCACAACAGTCACGGAAAAGGAATGTATCATATCGTCATCAAAGGATCAGAACGGCGCTGCCATCCATCAACAATTGGCTAGACGTATCTCTAGTCCCGAAAGAAAACCTTGAACTTTTCTTACTTTGTTTCGATTTTAATATCGATCAAGAATGTTAAAATTTTGTTAAACGGTTAAAGTTTTATTTCTTCCTACTGCGTTTTTACCTTACAATCTGCAGTGTCGACTTGTAATTTTTCATGTTTTGATTTTTTAAATTATTTTAATGAATCAAATAAATCGCTTAATATGTTCGTATATAGTATGGAATAGAAATACTATCCATTTTGACGAGCAGAATTTTGCGCATTTGTGCAAAACGTGTTCTTTTTTTTCGAGTTTCTTATCGCTGTGCTTTCAATAATTGATTACCTATAATGAATAACAAGAACAATACGTTATGCATGCATAGAGAGCCTGTAATCAGAGAATTACCAACTGATCACGTGATTCGAATCGCGCCGATTGGAGGCGTATGCTGCTCAGAAAAGTTTAGAGTTGATTATAATAGATCATATTCTATTAACTTTTTCTGTAATTTGTAAGAATTGACTAATCACAGTCTATTATTCTCTTCTCATTCGACTGTGATTGGTCAATTCTTACAGATTACGAAAAAAGTTAACAGATTACAGCCAACAGAGAAACCAACTTTTAGAGAATGAAAAAACCGAAAAAAACCGAAACCGTTATCGGTAAAAGGACCGAAATTGAAAATTGGTACTCTGACTGTGACCGCAATCAGACCGAAATTTCATTTCGGTCCGAGTCTCTGCTACTAACATTTTCAAATTTATGATTATTTATTATATAAATGCTCCACAAATAAATATGCATACTTGTAATGCTATAACATCTTATATATTGCCGCAAAATTACAATTTTTTTTCTACAGTCATCTTATCTGTTGATAATCAAACTTAAACAATAACATTAAAATCATAATTTTATAAACAAATTAAGAATTAATGAGTTTTAAGTGCATATACATAATTAATGTCTACGTAATTAATAAATCATAAAATTAATATTATATTATTAGTTTCTTACTCTAAATCACTTAAATATTATATTAACGCGCGAACTCCCGTAAGGATGTTGGTTATTAATAGTATCTTATCGGTAATCATATACAAGCTGTTCCATATCTGCGGGATCATCTTTCGTGAGGAAGTACAGTGAATTAAACTGAGCAAAAAATTATCTACTATTTTTGCAATAGTTAACGAGATATTAATTCCTAAAGATCGCCAAATAAATACATAACAGAATAATCATGGTGATGCGCATTTATTTTTACTCTAGTGTAATGGAACCTCGCAAATGACGATTACGTCACTATACAGAACTCGACAACTATCAATTTTCGTGACGGTTGCGACGGTTCGTATTGAAGCAACAAGAAATAACATTGGTAATGTAATAATAATTATTATAATATATGCAAAGTGTTTGGAGCATACTTAATATACTCGCGGGAGAGACAGTTCCATCAGTTAGAATTCTTGTCCAATAGTAATTGTCGAGTAGTAATTAATCTCTTCCGAGAATCAAGTATCAGTAACCGACGTTCTTACTTGTCGATGGTTATCAACATAAAAAAGGCCAATCAATGCATGTGTAGGTAGCGCTTTATCATCGAAGAAGCTGAGCACCGAGGTTGAAGAACAAATAGCATCTTTAAATAACGGACGCTGGTCAACAGTTTTGTTTTACGTTGATCGCGATCATCGATCGGGCTCGTTCTGAGCCGTCAAACAATCAAGCGACATATCTGAAGTATGATTTACAGCAGCGAAAAGATGGCTCCTCGCGCTGCAGACTTGCGTAACAACAAGAATCGTAACATAATTACTAGTATTCCGAGTTGCACGGCTTTGTGAAGCCAGTACAGTCTGTAAATAGATAAGCAAATAAATCAGGATTTGAAGAATGACATGTAATCTCTTCTATTTAAAAAATAGATAAAAAGTACTATAAAATGAATTTTCACTCTCTCATTCCTGATTTTCGAAGATAAAAAGACTTCTAGTAATTCATTCTCCAAATTTTTCCAGATAGCAAACAGACTTTAGGAAAAAATTCTATCTCTCGGGGAGACCGTACTGTAATAAAAAAATTGAAAAACGAACAGATGTCTTACTTTGTGATGTATGAACGAGCAGCTGGCAGTGTATCTGGACTCTCTTTTAAGATAAATTGTCGTATACCCAGAATGTAATGCTCTAAGTATGATGGCCAGTAGATTCCTCTGACATCAAATATAAATGTTTCTCGATCCTCCAGACTGAGTTGTTCACCCAATCGTCGTACGTTGTCGTCTCTAAAATTCCACTGTTTCGTAGTGAAGTATTCAAACAATTTGGCTGCTTTGGAAAGTTTCGTCTGTATACGGACCATTATAGGTCGCGAACCCTTGATTCGAGCGAGAATATCTAAGATATACGCAGGTAGCGCATGCTGAAATATCACGCACAATTTGTTTATTATGATGGAGCTGCGACAGCAACAGTCCGGATACCAGAGCGCATTGTTCACCGGGTGTAATCGACAATATTTGAATGACAGGTTGACGAACTGTTTCCAGGTTATAGGATTTTGTTGACCGCTGCAACAGTTATAAATCGGAATGGTGTCGGTACGCTGCGTAGCGGTTCTCCATGCCGCGCAAATCATTAGGTTGATCACAATGTCAACGGGTACCAGATCTGCCACTTTATCCTCATGACACAGCACAGTTCTGCAAGAACGCGATTTCTAAGATAGATTTATTCAAAGATAATTTACAAAGATTATGAGCAAGAGATTATCACGCTACTAAAATAACAATATATAGATACTATAATAATAACTATTTTTCTTCTATTATAATATTGATATTATTATCATCAATGAGAGAGATGGCTAGTCGTCGTCATTACCTGAAGAAACCTTTTCCACCGGCGGCAATAATCCCTGTCGGGCCATTGTAATTGTCAATCCAACCGGCAACTGGTTCTCTATATGACGACAATACGATCGATGGCCTGACAATCGCTATCGGTAAAGAACCTTTTTCCCGCTCCAGCATTCGCTCAGCCAATGCTTTGGTAAATGTGTATGTATTTGGTCGGCTAGCGATAAGATTTGGCGTAAATTCTTCAAACATTTTGTCGTCCATCCACTCTGTCAGAGCGATCACCTGATCGGGTTCCCGTCCCACCGGATAAATCTCTTCAGCAACATCGTTCCGATCACAATTACAGTATGCCGTTGATACATGTATAAATGCCTACGATCAAACAAATAGTAATTATCGAACATTTTATACATATTCTATACATGATGCGAAAGGTATAGACTTATATTACAGGAACGCCCATCTTTTGTCTTGTGCCGATCGAACGTGCGCTCCTAATGAGTGTTTTCATGGAGAAAGTTCTAATCAAAAGTACACTTAAGAAAAAGAAAAGATAAAAACTTAAAGAAAGAAACAAATATCATTGTCTGATGATCAATTGCATAGTGCAATTATCTAAGTTGTATAAGTTCTGCTCGCTAATTGTTACATAAAATTAAAAGAAATCGTGGAATTCATCGAAGACAATAACTTCTAAATAATATTTCGAACGCTTTATTTGGACATAAAATGCGTAATACATGAAATTATAAAATATTTACGTTTTTAATTTAAAATATTAATTTTTTGAAACTTTTTGACAATATTACTTGACACTTTCATTCATCATGTTTCATTCGCACAATTTCATTGATTAATTTGTTACCACGAGAAAACAAATGAATTACTAAAATCCATATGAGATTGTTAAACAATGAACGATCGGTGTATGATTTAAATATAGAATCGCGCGATACAATTAGAGTGCAGAGTACAAATACACTCGTACATAAATCTATTTACCTTTCGCTCTATTTACTTTTCGAAATTTGTTGACACAAATCGAATGTATTTTGCTATTAAGCAGAAACTTAGTTAGATTATTTAGTTACTGATTAATTAAAAACAATGTACATCACATGAACAAATGAAACGATCAAGAATTCGAAAGATTTTTGAGAGTATATATCTCGAATGTGTATCTTTCGAGATGTGGTTAAGGTGTTAACCATCCATAGACAAAAGTGTATTATCACTGTAATCTTTCGTAAAGATTTGTAAAAAAAAAGAGATCATTACAGATTAATCTTTTATTAAATTATATTCACGACTGAAAACTAATTTCGGCTCGATTCGGTTGAACTGAGCAATTAGAAAAGAAAATCTCTTACCTCCACATTATGCATCCGATTGCATAATTGAACCAATCTTTTGGTACCCAACATATTTATGGTAATTGAGAGCTTCAAAGCCTCGTCAAATTTCACGGTAGCTGCTGAATGAAAAACGATCGATACGGATCGTATTAACATATTTTGATCATCTGCAGAGATACCCAATTCTGGCTTCGTAATATCGCCAGCTACGGGTATGATTTTTGAAAGCTCGCCCGGAGAATCCCGCCGTAATTTCTCAAAAAGCTGCCAAAATATGATTTTAATTTTTCGAAAGTGATCAAAATAGGTGAAAAAGGTAATATTTACCGGTCTGTTTAAAAGTTCTTGCAATCTCTCTTGCACATTTTCACCCTTCTTAGGTCTCATTAGAAGATAGATGTTTTTGATATCTGGACATGATCTCAGTAACTTCTCGACGAGAACCTTGCCCATAAAACCCGTTGCTCCAGTTATAAAAATGGACCTGTCTCTGTAAAAGTCCTTTATGGATGTGTATTCACTGCCAGCCATATTACTATTTGCTAAACACGTTCTTTAAAAAATATCAGACATTAGAAAAAGACAAAAATATATTTGTATACTTAATAATATATAATTATTCATTAATTTATTTAATTATTATGGCGTATCCTACCTGAATTATTTCATTCAATTTCCTTAAATTACTTTCGGACAGAAAGTACTTTAGACCTCTTTGTTACTGCGAGAATAACTCTGTCTTCTCTGTTCCTACTTTCGTTCCTATATTTTTCACATAAAATCATGAATATTAAATTTGATATTGAAATTCTATTTTACGAAGATACTTCATTTTTTTTAAGATGATAAAACGTGCTTAAAATATGTACATATTAAATGAAAAATGTTTTTATTTAAATAATAATCGATTTTTATGCTATTTGTCAAATATTTGCATAAATTCGTATAAATATATATTTCATATAACATGTATTTTATACATACAGGATATTCGAGTTTAACTGTATCCCAAATACTTATTTCTTCTTTTTCATTTCAAATAAAAGTTTCATAATTTTAGAGAAAAAAAATATGATGCATGCAACAATTTTTGATATTGATACGTGATTCTTTTCAATATTATTATTTTTTAAATGTATAAAAAAACTATATTTTTTTTACTTAATTCTCTAATCATTTTATATATACAGAGTAGGGTTAGATTATTCTGTCAGTTTCAACTTTAAAGTAATACAAAAATTAACGATAGCAAACAATATCTCTTTGCAGTGACTTGCTTATTTGCTCCTTGAAGGCACAAGCACATTCTTTAAATAATCAACATGTTCTGTTTGATCAAAAACATGAATTTGTAGCAAGAAATGGACGAAAAAGCCCTACTCTACCCTATAAAAAAAGTGAAATATAATAACGAATAAATTATTTTTACATTTGATATTTTGATTTTTATATCTAATTTTTTAATTTATGTCATTGTTCTGTATATAAAAGTATTATAAATATATATGACTCGTATATCTCCTGCAAAAAGTTTAAAATTATAAATGTGTATTAATATTTATAGAATATAATATATTGTCGAGTCTTGTAAACAGGATGTTAGTGTTTATTATAATTGTGTGAATTTATATACCGCGTACGTAGTCCCCCCCGCGACGCTGATAGATTTTCAGCCTTGACGCATACATATTCACTACCGGAGTAATACCACTTAGTTAAATTGACAATCAATCTAACAAATTTTGGTGCTTATAGCATCTTATTAGATCTTAATAATATGTTGAAAGACATATATTAAAATTTAATATTGAAGTAATGATAATTTTAAATCTGTGAAAAATAATATAAGATTGCGAAGAATATCACAAGTTGGCGTTTCGTCCCGGTTTCCACTACTGGGCTCATCAGTAAGGCATTGTAATGGAAACCTATCTTAGACGCCTGGGGGAGATGTTAGAAAGAAGTTTTATATAAAAAAATACTCATGTAATTCGGCACTTGCGAGAATTGGCATGAGTGACTATAGACCTCTGTTGGCTAGTCGACGTAGTGATATTCTTCATAATGTTCTTCATATTTAAATAAGTAATTAAAGCGCATTTTTCAGGCCGCGCGATATAAATATAATGAAAGATAATACTAATTGACTCGTATGATTTAAAAATCTCAGAAAGTGTAATGCCTAATCGAGTTAGACTCACATGTAACAAAGGATTATTGCAGAGGGAGAGAAAAAGATATTATTTAGTAAATAAGCATTCGTATGCTTTATCTAACAATTCTGTATCCGTTTGTAAATTTAAACTATTGTTTTGTTTATGTATGTAAATAATTTCTGACATGAGTCTTTTGTTTAAAATTTTGACAATATTATAAGAATATTATTACAAAACGGTTATCCATTACAACTAATATTTAATATAATTAAAAAGAGACTTTTTATTTAAATGAGCTTAATATAAGATGTTGAATAAAATTATTTAAAATATATTTAAAACATATGAATTAAAATGTTAATTTGCAAAAATGTTTCGACTAAACAGAGCCGTTATCAGTTTTATAAGTGTAAACAATTTTGTAGATAAAAATAATTTTTATTCAAGTTCTAAATCGCCATTAAAAATATTTTTGTATTATCTTTAAAAGCGATCTAGAATAATCTGTATTTTTTTCATTATCTTCTATTATTTTAAAAATATGTGCTATATATTCTTAAGGCACTTATCTTACTTCACCAATGACTTACCTGATCTTCCTTTGATGATTGTTTTTAATTTGGTTCTTGTGAAATGATGAAGTGGTGAGAAAGCCTTAAAGATAAGGATACAGCACCTGCGTATCACGACGGTCCCTTTTTAAAATACGTATATGTTGAATGGTGATTCTTCATATCGTGATGAATTCATATCGTATCCCTTGCTGGCACAAACTCGTTGCCTCTATGTACAAAACGAGTAAGATCTTTTTCTGAGATTTTGAATTACGTCATGTAATCAAACTGAATTAAATAAATTTTAAAAGGACAAATACTTCTAATTAATGAGAACAAGCCGTAGCGGTCTAAGCTGAATCACAGATGCTTCTATAATAATATTCACTATATAATTGCATGTGAATTTATATACTACGTATGTAAATCTTTTATTGTGAAAATGTTTCCTGACTTGAAATGGAATACTAATAAATTGCCGTAGTAATCTGATAATGTTAAACAACCTTCAAAATTTATAAATAATCAGTTTTTTCATTGCGAACAATATTACCTCGGCCGGGAGTCGAATCTGAATCTCTATCATTCCGGACCTTGGTAATATATAAAGGCTTAGCAAGCTTGCAATTTTAATATCTTTCGCAATGAAAAAATTGTTTATTTACAGATTTTATTAATCGTTTAACATTATGATGATTGATATAAGATATTATAGTGTTGCGTTTCAAGTCTAAAAAAATTTCGGCGCGCAAAGATTTACATACCTAGTATGTAAATTATTCTAGAACGACAAGTAAATATTTTATTTACTAATGAAATATGAGTCAAAAGTCTTCTACCATTTTGCAATTTTCGCAATAATTTACAAGAGATATTAAAAATCTTCGAATATTTATTTATGATAATTTTTTACTTAAGTATTATTGTCTTCACAGAAAAACAGTAGACAATGTCGCTCGAGCGTCGTGCGGCATTTGGACCGCGCGCGGTGAGGTGTGCGGTGAGGGCGGTGAGGGGAACAGCGGAAGGCGGAAGCGATTCGAAAAAAAGGCCGAAAGTTATATACATTTTATGTATCTTCACTTTGTACTTGCACCTTTAATTAATAATATATCAGTTACTTTTCATGGTAATATTTATTATTAGATAAAAAGGTTTAAATTTTTAAGTATCCTTTTTTGAACATGACTTAAATTTTTCATTTTTATGATATGATTTTTTTCGGATATCATTTACTTTCTACGACCGACTGCTGCCAATTGAAGGTTGTTAGAGTACAAATATATTACAAATATATAAAAAAAATGGTTTAAAAGTATTATGTAACGAAAGAGAGTGAAATACGGCGAAAGAGAGGGGTGGCGGGGGTGGGTGGTGGA